TTCTCTCCACAGGAAAGCCTATCAGCACAATGTGAACAAGCTCATAGAGACTATGTAAGTATCCTTCCCATGTTGGTACTCTAAAAATTTAGCTGGTCCTCTGTCTGATGCAGTGTATTTCCATTACTTCATGTTTTTTGGGTGTGTTTATCCAGGATCACAGATGCCTTCGTAAAAGCAGATCCATGCATCCAGATTGAAGGCTCAGGAGGGAAGACGTTCACTCTCTCTGAAGCTATAGAAGACATAGAAGCCTACACCAAGCTGACAGGTCAACAGATGCCACAGTGTGCTGTCAATTTAAAACTAAGGAACATTAAGATACACGGAGGAGTGGGCGGGATACACAAAGCACTATCTGTGCCATGTTTAACTTTTACTTTTACTTGCCTGCACATAAAGGGAACCTGTTAGACTCTATCATTGTACTATGGCAGAAAACACAGGGAGCCAAGTCTCTAAACACACACACACAGCACACTCTAATGCACATCCCAAGGGACACACAGAGAGGGCCAGTAAAAACTTTATAGCATTTTTGACGGTCCACCGATGCTGCGGCCCACCAGGATTTGTCCCAGCATGACCGATCGCCAGTACACACTGAGCTGGTCTCTGTGCCTCTGCCATGATGCCTGTAAACCCCACTCACTATGAACACCCATATTTGATGGTGTGTGACATAGTGCCGTAAATCCTTACGCACTCCTCGCGGGCGATCGTACAGCTCAACAAGGTTCATAATGTAAGAAAAAGGTGTTCGAGGTGTGGGAATGAAAGAGGCACCATTCTTACAAGTCACGGTATCATCAAAGTCATTTTGAAGCTGTCATTTTAAGGTAACATAGTTGCATAATATTGCTTGAATTCATTTCTTAAACTTTTGCTTTTGCATAAAAACTCACCACCCTCCAAACTCCAAACTAGATGCCGGGTATGACTTCACTTCAACATGCAGAGAAATTCAAGGCATGACACACTTTCTGTGTCTAGTTACAGTTACTATGACAGGACATCCACTATTTAGTGGAGGGATTTGGAAAATTGTCAACTATGAATAGAACAAATGTCCTAAAGTGTCTGTTTTGATTACTGTAATGCATTTGAATGCATTTGAAATTGTCTTTGGTTTGTTCCAACTCACCTGTCCTCCACTCTTTTTCTGTTTTTCCTGTAGATCGGGTGTTTGAAATAATACTCACTCCTCCTTCCCACATCTACGTTTCCTGCCCAGAGGAGGAAGAAATGAGGAAATGTCTCATCACAGCTGGAAATTGCCCAGAGGTGAAAGCTGCGAGGGAGATTCTCCAGAGGATCATAGATCGAGACTTCTACAAGTGTCTGGGGAGAATTAAGACTGAGAAACCCACTGAGGTGTGCACTAATGTCTTTTTGTGTCTGTATTGCATTGCTTGTGTGCTTGACATGTGACTGTGGAGTGTGTACCACGATACTGAATATTCCTGAATGTTATGCTCATTCTGTTGTTGGTATTGTAGTGTGTGGTTGTTTAATTGTGTGTATGTTACTATTTCAGTTGTTTACCATGGTTTTCCATGGCAGACATTTTAGTTTTGGATTTTGTCACTTCCTGTTTTATTTTGTAGTTGGTTTCCTTGTGTGTCTTAATGTTTTTATTTCCTGTCTTGCTCCTGTTTTTCTGTGTGGTGATTGTCTGCCCCGCCCTAATGTGTTTCACCTGTGTTCAATCACCCTTGCCTCCCTTGTGTCTAGTCTCTGTGCTCCCCTCTGTTTGTGTCGGTTTGTCTGTTCATGTTGCCTGTTCTAACGGCTGTGGTATCCCCTGTGTCTCCTGTTGTTGTTCCTTGTGTTCCCTCGTGCTTCGGTTTCCTTTTGGCTGCATTTGGGTCCAGCCTTACCCGCACCATGACAGTTTTAATACTTAAAAGTATAGTTGATCACATTTGCATATTTTTCTGTTGATGTACAGACAATGGAACGAGTATGAAATGGCTCTGGCTGTAGGTTTGTAGTTTGATCCCCAGCTCCTTCTGTCCACGTGTCCTTGAGCGCTGAATGCCAATTTTTTTCCGATTTGCAGGCCAGTGCTTTGCATGTTTGGCAGCTCTGTTGCCATAGATATGTGTCTGTGTGAATGGGTGAACAGAAAAGCAATTTGTCCATTATGATAGAAAACATGTACATGTCATTCCCAGGCTGCTGTGCCAATAAAATCATTAATGTATGCTTGTGATGTCATCTGACAAAATCACCTTAGATACAGGTTGAGAGATCACAGAGAAACTTAGTGGTGACAGAAAGTTTTCTTTTTAACTTTACTGCCACAAACAATAACTAGGCAGGCATCATTTTGCAAAAGCTCCACCAAAAACTGGGGAAACAGGATGCAGTTTTAAATGATTTTAAATTAAATATCTTAATGTATGGGATGTGTGTGTAGGATGTATTCTTGCTATATGTTGATATGTTGTCAAGTGGTAATAAATCTCTAATCTCTTACCCCTCTCACTTCTCACCCTTTCTCCTCAGGAGGTGAAAAAGCAGTGGAAAAAGGAATTAGCTCAAACCATCCCTGATGACGGGCTGACAGCAGAGGACTTTGAAATTGTGGTAAGTTTTTTTTTTAGTCTAATTACTTTCACTTCACTTTTCATAAAATCTTGGCTTTTATTGATTATCACTGATTTGGAAGATAATCTATTTATATAAACAATCTTTTCTCTCACCCTTTTCTTTTAGGTCACTTCTCTCGATTACAGGATAAAGGGGGAGGACCCCATCAGTAATGTGTATTTCTACAGCAAGTTTGCCCCTGACAAAGCTTCAAAGATCCCCCAAGACCAGGTCAGAACTTAAGCAATGACTGTATATATATATATATATGTATGTATTTTTTCATAAGGAAGCTGCTGCTATATTTTTATTCTCAAATTTATGATGCTGTTCTTCTTGTCAGGTGGACAAACTTCTCTCAGAGCGCTTTTCTGAGCCGTTCATCAGGGTTTACTGCAAGAGGAAGGATGAAGAGAGTCTGGACGCTGCCGAGAACCACTTCGTCCAGTGGTGTGAAGCCAAGAACTTTCCAATACTTGAGGTAATACTTAGATCTGGTCTATTAAATATAACACAGGTACTGTATGGAGGGTCGGGTGCAATTCCTTTTAAATTGTAGTGATAGGCTGTAAGTTATGAGCATTAGGATGGGAACATGAGCAGGGTAGCAACATGACGATCTCCAGGAGCCGATTACAGTTCTATTACTCTCTGATGTTGGATCTGGATTGAATGCAGTCTATAGCTGTATTGATCTGCTCTTCTGATTATTATTTAATCAACTAATCAGTTTATTTATAGATGTAAAAAAATAGGAAAAATATCTCTAACGACTTCTTAAAGACTTGTCAATTCTCTATCTCACAACACAAAGAAAACAGTGTTCAGCTCCAGCGCAGTCTAGTGCCCTGCTTCAGTAACCATGACCACCATCTCTCACCAGGTAAACTCTGCACTGCTCTTGTTAATACTGATGTGCTTGTCTGTGCTGTCTTTATTTACGTACAGGATGGAAACCCAGAGGAAGACAGCCAAAACAATTAATATGAAGATGTGGAAGATGAAGCTCAACCCTGAAAAAAACAAACACTCTCTGATACTCACTGGTTCTATATAATTGAAAATAATCCAAAATGACCCTGTAAATGAGAATTAATTATTACACTAAAACCCTATAGTCAGGTTTTCTGAAGCCCTGTTCAATATTATACACATTTTTGTTTGCCATTGATCATCTTCATCAGCTGTTTTAGACCTTCTCCATCTGCAGCTGTATGTCACATTTAAACTGAAGCACAATTTCATACCATGTTTCTACCAAAACATGCCCTTCTGTAAATCTTTTTTATCCTTGTATTACTACAGAGCTTTTAAAGGAGGAAATTCAAATCTACAAACAAAAGTACAACTTTGTATTCTTTATGTTTGTGACAAGCTTTAAAGCACCACCAACACATGTAATAGAGTCTGTTATTTAAAGTGACATTTAATTAATAAGCATTTAATTTGTGGTTTGGGGATTTTGAATATTTAGTAGTATTTGTATTTAATATTAATTGTGTGAGTTAATATGGAAATCTCATTAGATGCTATTTTGACTTTGAATCATTTTTGATCAGAAGTTGTTTTGGTGGTTTAGTTTATTTAACTGCATCTTTCCTCACTTACAACATTTATTGTCACTGTTTTTAAATTGTTTTTGAATCTATTTTATTGGTGGCATCTTTTATTTTATCTTGTTTTTTCATTTGAATGATTATACCTTTTGAAATCATCTCAATCAATATGAAATGAGAATTTAATCATTTGTGATAGATTACATATAGATATATAGATATTAGATGGATAACATTATCAAAATTTTTCTCTGTAGTCACATTATATAGGTCAACTGGCTTGTTGCTTTAGTCAATGTAACCATCTGTATGAATATGGCTAAGGCATGGGTAAGGGTATCGAGTTTTGCTCATTGTGTGAAAATATACTATATATTTAATATGTAATGGGACTTTTGAGGGAAACCTACCAAAGGTTAGTCAATCGTTTTAACTATAATCCTATTGATCTGATTTAATAACAGATTGTACCTGCTTTATTTGAAATAAAGGTCTTTTACTTTTTGTCGTGTGTCCTCGTGCAGTTAAACTTGTCCAACACCAGAGGGAATCATAATATAGTTTTCTGCTGTGGCCCACGAATGGAGACACCGCTCAAATATAGAAATAAAAGAAATTTAATTTTTAATTTTTTTTTTCTTTTTTTTTTATTTGAGCCACAGTCACTTTTATGTAGTTTTAATTTGTGCACACAAATTATTGAAATAGATCTTGAGGGAAACAATAAATTAAAAAGACAATTTATTGTACTTCATTGTCTGTCTTGTTTATTCATGTTCTTGACATGATTGTACAATCCTTTGTTTCCTTCTGTTGGTGTTCCTTGATTATGACATTTCCAGACAGGTTTAGTACAAACGTTCTGGCAGCACATAGTGCAGCAGAGAACCTGTTTTAGTGGATCACTTACTGTAAAGTAAACTGAATCATAAAGAATTGAGTGGCATGTCATCTCATGGCCATTTAACCTACAACACTCCAGTGGTGTAACCTCATGACTCGGTCAGTCTTCTACTTTTAGTCATATTTGGTCTCCCACAGTCTTCCAGGTTCTCAGCTGTGTGACTTTCTGGCATGAAGCTCGTTTGTAAGCATTTCAATTCCAGTGTCCATTCTTTGCTGACAATGATGTGTGGTCACTGACATGTGAGGTATCATGCTGCAGCTGGACCACATGACAGGGCCAAATATTCCACATCATCTGGCACTCCTGAAACGTTTGCTCTGTTGTCGTTGTATAACTTTGGGACAGTGGTCTTCAAGATAAATATCTGACTTGGCAGCTCATACTGTTTGTCAAATGTCTGTAGCATGGCCTAAAAGTATTCTTTTCCTCTGTGTTAAAACAAATCGTTTCTTTTCCTATGTAACAAGTTACAGCACCAGTACACTGTCATTATGATGCTTGTTCGTTGGTTGGTGGTAGCTAGATGTTTTATAGGGCCAGTTGCACATGATGGCTGTCTAGCATATTCCACAGGATGGGAAATACACAAATGGTTGTGAAGATTCGTCGTCTGTCCATCTCTTGCACAAATTACATTACCACAAATCCTAAACACCACTTCATTAATGTCTCTTGGCTCTTCTCTCTCATCAGGACAAAATCCAAACCACTGCCAGACGGCAAAGTGGTATCTTTTTTAGCAACCAAGATCGTCAATGCCATTATTGCAACATATGACTACTGAACACCATTTCATTTGTGGGCTTTAAAATGTGAAAAAAAAGTCATCACAATGTCATTGTCCATCACAATTTTTACTCTAAACATGGTCATATGCCAATTCGATAAACATCACCCAACCCTAATGACAATGAGGAAGATTTCAGTATGGAATGTAGAAAAACCAGCTCACTGATCACTCAAGAGAACTGGGAGTGATTTTTATTGAAAGTCTTTTTGTTCATAAATTGACTAAGTGTGTAAAGTGTTAATAAGCAACAGGTGCTTGATAATCCTGTGGCTGTGTTTCTAAGCCACTCTTGTGTAGCTTTGAATGTATGCTCTCATAGGTGAAAGTTTCCACAAGATTTACATCAATGTATGCTTGGACTCACTGGTCCTCATGGTAGAACCTTTTTTGTATTCAAATTCTGAATCTTTTTTAATAACTTCACCTTTATTGTGTAGGTTTTGCCACCAGACTAGGTCACCAAAAGTTGAACCTTCAAGATGAAGGTGTATTTATACTACAGTTAGTTTTAACAGCCCAAAAATGACTACAAAAAACAAAACTATCACAAAGACACACAAAGCTAACTCAAAGAGACGTAAAAATGACCACAAAAAGAGAAAAAACAGATTTGTTGACTCTTGTCTGACTGGTTGGTCCCACCTGCAGAAGCAGTCAAACATGATGAAGCAGGAAGTTAACAGGACTGGCACCAGCTCTCTGTTTCTGTTGCCCAGCCCTGTCTTCAACATTCACTGGTACATTGTTGTTTACTACCCAACTGCTGCTTTCACTTTCATTTGTGTTTTTTTTTAATTAGTATTAGTAGTAGTAATAAGTAGGCACAGTAAATTTTTAACTTTAGGATTCTTTGTAGTTTTGTTTGTGTGCTCACCTACTCTCTCTTGTGCACTCTCTCAGAAATTCAAACAAGCTCTATTGGAAGAAGTAAAAGTCACACAAGTACCAAAAATAAATTCCAAATAATTAATTATGTATGATATCTCACTCACTGACTTCTATCAAGGTTGGGGCTCCTAATGTTTAACTCTGTGGTGTATGTTTTTCTTCCACTTTACACACTGATGAGGTGTGAAGACCACAACTTTGCTCCCCAAACGGCACGATGGTATATACTGATGAGGTGTGAAGACCACAACTTTGCTCCCCAAACGGCACGATGGTATATAATAGTCAAATGGATACCTGTGCAGAATGCAAAAGAGTACATCCCGATACTTCATATCTTAGAGTGATGTCAGCAAAATGCAAATACAACGCTGCCTCCTAAAAGATACCGTCACATGATCTGCTTTGGCTAATAGGATTTATTGGAAACTTAAAACTACCTGACATTTTTATGAACAATATGATTGTTTATATTGAATGTATCTGCATAAGAACTGCCTAGTCATGTTGAACATATCCACAAAATATCTAAATATTTAATTTGGTTTGTCCTTTTTGGCAACTATAGCACAGAATGAAAACTCTAGTCCCTGGAAATTCTTATCGTTGGTGAAGAAAGAGCTCTGGAGTCCAGGATGTCTTATGCTGAGGATGTTTATTGAAACTTGAGAAAGAAGGATTCATCAATACAGGCTTCTGTGCATGATGTCACCTCAATTGTGAAGCAGGAACCCCTGAGGATAGTTTCTATACACTTAGAGATAACTATAGATAGCTTACATTTCATAATTGGTCTAATATCTAAAAGAAGAAGGATATCAGGGTATGAGGGGTAAGGCTGGACCTAAAATGCAGCCAACACTTGGGAGATGGCGCAAAAGGTTTATTTAACAAAACCAAGAAGCTTACACACAACACTGGTGAAGCACAGGGAAACACAGGAACTCAAAACAGGAGACAGGAACAGGCAACATGAAAAGACTGAGGACAAAGCAGACATGAACAGCTTTGCAACGAACCAGACATGAACAGGCACGTGAACCCACGAGGACAAACCCAGAAATCAACACACGAACCGACACAGACAAAGGGGAGCACAAGGGAGGCAAGGGTGATTGCACACAGGTTAAACACATTAGGGCGGGGAACACAATTACCACACAGAAACAGGACCAAGACAGGAAGCAAAAACACTGAGACACACAAGGAAACCAATTACAAAATAAAACAGGAAGTGAGAAAAGTCCAAACAAAACAAACAAAAAGTGTCTGCCATGGCAAACCATGACAAGGGAGAAGAGGGATGTGTGAATACACTAATGGTTCATTAACCATAAACAAGGAACATGACTATATAAGCCAAATGCTGATTCTCAGAATACCCAGCCACTTGTTACCGACCATCCATGGTCTGCTGTTATCAGCCCTGGCACCAGTATTATCAACATAGCTGCGTCTGGAGAGTGTCTCAAGGCCTGTAAGATTCGTTCTTTTGCTTGGTAACAAGTCACAGCACCAGTACACTGTTTCCATCTTTCATTATGATGCTTGTTCGTTGGTTGGTGGTAGCTAGCTGTTTTATTGGGCCAGTTGCACATGATGACTGTCTAGCATATTCCACGGGATGGGGTAGACGCAAATGGTAGTGAAAAATTTGTCTTCTCTCCATCTCTTGCACAGATTACATTACCACAAATCCTAAACACCAATTCATTAATGTCTCTTGGCTCTTCTCTCTCATCATGACAAAATCCAAACTACTGCCAGACGGGCAAAGTGGTATCTTTTTTGGCAACCAGATTGTCAATGTCATTATTACAACCTATGACTCATTGGTGGGCTTTGAAATGTGAAAAAAAGTAATCACATTGTCATTGTCCATCGCAATGTTTTACTGTCATCATGGTCATATGCTAACTTGATAAACATCACCCAACCCTAATAACAATGAGGAAGATTTCAGTATGGAATGTAGTAAAACCAACTCACTGATCACTCAAGAGAATTGGGAGTGATTTTTCTTGAAAGTCTTGTAGTTAATAAATAGACTAGGTGTGTTCAAAATTTTTTTTAATAAGCATCGGGGTTGGTTCTTTGAAATGGGCGTTTATAACTATGGCACGTCTTGTTTTTCTGAAGTCTCCACACCTTCGTTATGCCTCAGTGATCCCGTAAGAACTATGTTGGTGAGTGAAAATAACAAGGGCACATCAACATCTTGTACAGTACACAGCATGGAAACACGAAATGAGGATGAAAAGAGGTTCATAAGTCCTTTAGAGTCCTCAGAAAGTCCTTAGACTTTATTAAACACTTAAACACTGCAGACTGGTAGTGGGTCATGACCCAGTCAGTAAGAATCACTGCTCTAAGCACATTGCCATTCGCATGGATATGCCAGTCCATGATAAGACCTCGCAAGAACAAACTCCATTGCATTGTACAGTGGTTGGATTTTTTTTTTTTTTTTTATCCCACTGAGAGAAACAAGACAATATAGTCTGTGTAGTCAACTTTAACAGGAGCATCACCTACAACACAACATTGTCATGCTCAAGGATATTGCTGCATGTGCACACATCACAAAAGGTGGCAGTATGTTTGTGAATCACCTCAATGCTGTCAAAACGCTCTGGGGAGTCCAGATAGGAATGGTGACATCAAAGCTGGCCAGCATTTTAGAATCGGGTAATATGCCCAGAGAAATGCCCTAATTACAATGTCAGTCCTTCTCAGCTACTGAGGTTGGACTGTTCAGCACAGCAACAAGTTTCACATCCAAGAGCATAGCCTGGTTCCTTTCACAGTAGGGTTTTAATAGATTCACACGCTTTACGTTTCCAGTGTGAGGTATCGACCGAGTATTCACAGTCATCAAACCCAATCTTTCATGCTGTCATAGTCTTCCCCAAAGTTCTGC